TATATGAGAGTTGTCGGGACCGGAGAAGTCTCTTATATCCGGTTTTCTTATATCCGGCATTGTCTATTAAATATACATTAACACAGGCTTTTATATTTGGACCATAGAAAATCTCTCTTATATCCGGGTTTCTCTTATATCCGGTTACACTGAATATATATATATATATATATATATATATATATATATATATATATATATATATATATATATATATATATATATATATATATATATATATATATATATAGGTACACATTTAAATGCACGTATCTTTCTATCTCTCTCTCTCTATATATATATATATATATATATATATATATATATATATATATAATTAGTTAGTGACGTATATATACTCACAGACCCGTAACATAACCAAAACAATATTTAATGAATTATCAAATAAAGATTTCCGCTAGAAAGTTGGATGCAGTGTCGATCCCTACCAGAGAACACTGTATGCTATCAGGAACTAGTCAAAGATGTGTCTTTATAAGGTTAACCGCATGTCAGGTTATATCACGTTTTTCTTATGGGATCCAGTTTCGGTTCCCGTCCGAGAATATTTGCTCTAAATTTTATCGAACAGTCAGGCCGGCAAATGTAATTAATACTGTTCAATTAAAAAGAAAAAGCCAAAAAAAAAACATGTACCCAAATATGTTGTATTCATAAAAATAACGTATAGAAAATATATTAAAATATTTTTCGATTTTAATCCGTTTCATCTAATATATTCTCTTTGTCAACGTTAGATTACATTTTGGAGCAGAAATGTTATATCAAGAAAGGTCGTCGAAGATGTGTGTTTATAAGCAGTTATTTAGACTTTGCTATCCGGAAATTCTCCTTTGGTTGAATGGTTAAGAGCATGTCAGGATATATGATGTTTACCTTATGGGTTACCGTTTCTATTCCAGGCCAGAGAACGCATAATTTCTAAAAATATTCAGAGTATGTTTATCCCCCAAAATAACGTATAAACAGAATATATATATATATATATATATATATATATATATATATATATATATATATATATATATATATATAATGTATTTAATCAGCAATCTTTCATTTATGCATGTTTCATTAAAAACGACAGACAATGTATTACGGTTAATTTTTATTTATTTTTCTTGTGTTCGAACAAGTGCTTTCTTTTTTGAACACCGAGCGTGTAGAAACTGTCCAAATGCTCTATAGTTCCGAGAGTTCTCGGCTATACTTTTAGCCATTATCAGGAATGATCTTATTTTTTCAGTTAAATTGAGTTCGTGCGTTATGTGTATGCTTTTAGTGTATTATAGAGATGTTTTATTTTCCGATGTATTTATTGTGGTGTTGTTCTTAGTTAATATTGTTAAGTGTTTTTTTTCGTTTTATTGTAAGGCTTACATTATTTTAAATCTTATTTGTAAACTCACACACACACAAAATAATAATATAATATATATATATATATATATATATATATATATATATATATATATATATATATATATATTAGGTATCTCCACTATTTCAGCATAAATTTTCTATATTTAAGTTTAAAATGAATTTTTTACAACGAAAAAACTTACTTGAAGATTTTATTTTAGCTTTAAAAAAAGTTTAATCATTAAATTTATTATTTCTATTAATTAAATTGGTGTATTTCAGATAGAAACTATATACATTTGATTGTCAAATTTAAATTCAAATTTTTAAATTTTCTTAAAATGTGGCCATTTTGTTAATTTTAAGAAATTTGTAAACAAACACAAATTTATCGATTTTGAAAATATTTAAAAAAAATTCTGACACGTTATTTTAGTAAAATTAAAAAAATTAAAGTTAAAGTAATCTGATTTCAAAGAAATCTTTGTTACTTATAGCATAAAACAATAATATACAACCAATTATTAACGAGCGGTCCTTTTCATTTGATCAAACTATTGATGGATTGTTGAATGACGAACCGATGACAGCTACTACTGGTGACCATAAATGACATAATTTTTAAGTCTGAGTTTTTAAAAAAAATATTCTATTAGAGCATGACACACACTAATGGAAATACAATACATAAAATAAAATTATTTAGTGAAATAGTAAATGAAATAGTAAATGAAAAAAGAAAAATTACTTTAAAATTTAAAGTTTACACTTTTAAAGCTGAACGGAAAATGCATGTAAGAAACGAAATGTAATGAAAAGGGACAAAGCACTTAGATCACGTGACCTTGTTATAATAATGGCAATTTCTGTATATCATACATGGAAATAAGGAATGTATTAAGTAAAAAAATACAACATAAAAAATTATTTAAAAAAAAATAGCGCAACTAAATTTATTAAACTCTGCAATTTTGGACGCGTAAATTTTTTTCCACTTAATTACAACATCACCTCGAGGAACCCTCCTAATACAGAGCTTTACACGATTTTAAACTATTATAAATTATTATAATTAAAATTTCCTAAAAAACAAAAAATATTCTTGTAAAAATTAATTATTCATCAGAAAAAAATTATTTCTTCAGACAATAATGTCCTTAATATTACTTATTTACAAAAGCAATTAAAAGCTTTTCTAATTAAGTAATATACTATTTTTAGTGGATTCATTATTTTTCAATTCAGATCAGATTTTCAGTTAGATAGCTCAAATTTGAAAAAAAAAAGTAGGTTATTTACCATCTTCGAAGACTCCTACTTTTAACAAAAAAAAAATTTTAGGAACCAAAAAAGTTTTGGGCGAAATTTCATTAAATTAAGTAAATGTGGGGAAAAATATTTTAAAAAATTATATTTTTTACCAACATTTTCTAAAAAAAAATATTTCAAAAATAATTTCATTCATTTGTGAATAAGTCCTAAAAATGTCATTAATATCGGACAATTACTTGATTTTTACAAGAATTTCCAAATCAATGTTTTCAACGGAAAAAAATCGCAAAACAAAAATATGTTATTTTCTGTGACTCCGCGATGACGTAAACAAAAGAAGAATTTAACCAAAATACTTTGGTCTTTCATCTTAATAATAACATAAGCATTTTGACGATAAAACTTTATTTTATTTAAGTTTGTGGCATTTTTCATTACACTATATGCTGTTTGTCTGCGAAAACAGTGAACATGCTTAATATATATATATATATATATATATATATATATATATATATATAATATAAAGAAATAGTCTAACAAAGAATAAATCAGTAACGTTAATGTAATTAATGGCAAATTCACTTCATTAACAGATTCAATAAAGCATTGACTTTATAACCACACGTAAATAACACTATCTTTGTTTTGTAAAACCTATTAGATATTCAGTCCATTTGCAAGTACTTTCAATAAATCCTTTTATCATCGTCAAGCATGGATATTATTTTTCAGTTTCGGATAATTGAACATCTAATTCATTTTACAAGTTTTAAAAACAAAGATTACGTCATTCACCGAGTGGTCAGTAAGTTAATGCATTATTTGTTAGCTTAATAAATTCGCCATTAATTACATTAACTTTACGCATTTATTCTTTGCATGTCTACGTCTTTACAATATTACTTATACTGCACGTTTTAATATATATATATATATATATATATTGAAAAGAAAAGAAATCCGCAAACGTTTTGATTTTAATGTGGATTTTTTTAAATATATATTATGCTTTATTTCTCATGCATTTCGTGTCTCCCAACCTTCTTCAGGCAAAGAGTGGATATTTCCACATATTATTAAAATGAATAAATTTTCCTTATGTTTATCGATGTTAAACATTCCCTTTTTGTGTGTGGTAGTGGCACAAATGTCTTTCTTGAAGTGGCAGTGAGAAAGTTTTTATCGCTTAATGACCCCTGTGTGTTGTTATATCTATTTCCCTTTTTTTCTGTGTATAACTTTTCCAGCATGCGTATGTATACGTATATTCCCCCCATACATACATACTCTGTTATTATAAAGAATTAGTATACACATATATATATTCTTTATAATATATACACTTTTCTGTAGTTGGAACAAATATAACCTTTTTTCCTTATATATATATATATATATATATATATATATATAAATTAAAATTAATTGATTTAAAATATGTTTTTTTCCGCTAACCATATTTTAATCAATTAATTTATAATATTAATGCTCTGTAAATTTACATCGAGCACTATTTTGTAAAAATAAAAATATCTGTAAGAACACCGGTTTATATATCTTACTGTTCTTTTTTTATTTATATACATTCATATATATATATATATATATATATATATATATATATATATATATATATATATATATATATATATATATATATTTGTTTTTGAATTTGTAGGTCTGATGATTTGGATCGTATTTACGATTCCAATGGAATAAATTATGACCATGGAATATTAGTGTTTAAGCCTTTTTTTATATCCTTACTCTGTCCTAGATATTGAGTTCTACCTGGATCCTTCCTCTTGGAAAAATTTTTTTCTGAAAATATATATGTATGGAAATTTTTTTAGATATATTTTTCATATGTATGTATATTTTCCACTAATATTATCTATCTATCTATATATATATATATATAGAGAGAGAGAGAGAGATAGATAGATAGATAGATAGATAGATAGATAGATAGATAATAACTATACTCGTTTCGAAAAATCATCAAATTTTTTGATTTGCCAATAATCAAATCAATCTCGAGGGAATATATATATATATATATATATATATATATATATATATATATATATATGTGTTTTGTATTATTTTGCATAATAATTATTTTATGTGTAGTTTCCTCTAGATTTGTTTTTTCATGATCATCATCAATATGATTTTTATTATCGTCATCGTCTAAATCAATTCGCATCTTCGCTGTAAAATCCATTGCTCGACTCAATATCCCGTCATTATTTCACTGATAAGCATGCTTGGGTGTCTCTGATTCTGTCTGGACATCTGTCCTTCCGACATTTCTGAGTATCCCAACCCTTCTTTTGTCCATGCAACGTTCACTGGCCTTAAGTCAGTCTTTCTTCCATCTATCTATTTCTCTCCGTCGCTATAATTCGTTTTATTATCAGCAAATTGACGACGTGATCGCTTGACTCACTCTTACTTATTCAAGCGAAGACGTTCTCGCTTCATTTGAAGAGTGAATAAATTCATTAATTCGCGAATTATTTGGGGGCTAAAGTGGAAGAAAAATTCGGGTTGCGAAGGAAGGAGTTTTGGTCGAAGATGAAAGGGGAAAACGAGGAGGATAATAATGATGATGATGAGGAGGAGGAGGAAGAGGATGGTGATGGTGGTGGAAAGATAAAATGAACAAGAACAGGAAGTAGCAGAAATTTCAGGGAATATTTTATATTTTCGGTGTTCGAACGTAGCTAAATGACAAGTTTTTGTTTCTTTTCAAGGAATTCATGCCCCCCTTGACTTGAAGATTAGCCTAACGCACTACTATATTTCTTACCCCATTCCGACAACTATTTTACCTCATATATATATATATATATATATATATATATATATATATATATATATATATATATATATTCAGTAGTATCTGTCTATATTTCTGAGAGAGGTATTATTTACACTATTTACATTATTCGGACTAATGTCCTCATCTTTGTCGCCATATTTATTACAACGTTTCGGCCATTGTACGCTCCAGTCTTCTTCAGGTAGTTGAAATGTCGAAATGAGCACTGCATTTCGCTCACTGGGAGTATACTGTTCTACTTCCACGTGCCATATTTAATGGTTGTCAGTTATCGGTTATCTCCTCAAGGACAGATGGAACAGTGGATAAAGGCGTTGGTTAGATTCAGTGAGAAGACGCAAAGAGTGTGAGTTCAATACCCGGTTAAGTTAGTGAAGAACCTGGAGAGGGGAATTAACAGGAGACAACTGATACCTGACATCCATTAAACATGGCACGTGGAACTAGAACAGTCTACCTTAGTTAGCTAAATAAATGGTTCAGTTCGACATTCCAATTTGAAGAAGGCCGGTGCGTACAACGGCTGAAACATTGTAATAAATACGGTGACAAAGATGAGGACAATAGTCCGAATAATGTAAATATTGTCTCATCTCAGAAATATAGACAGATACTGAAGGGCCGAAACGTTGTAATAAACATGGCAACAAATATGAGGACAATAGTTCGAATAATGTAAATAGTGTACATAATACGTTATCTCAGAAATATAGACAGATACTGAAGAAGGCCGGAGCGTACAACGGCTGATACGTTGTGATAAATATGGCAACAAAGATGAGGACAATAGTCCAAATAATGTAAATATTGTCACATCTCAGAAATATAGATAGATACTGAAGAAGACCGGAGCGTACAACGGCTGAAACGTTGTGATAAATATGGCAACAAAGATGAGGACAATAGTCCAAATAATGTAAATATTGTCACATCTCAGAAATATAGACAGATACTGAAGAAGACCGGAGCGTACAACAGCTGAAACGTTGTGATAAATATGGCAACAAAGATGAGGACAATAGTCCGAATAATGTAAATAGTGTACATAATACGTTATCTCAGAAATATAGACAGATACTGAAGAAGGCCGGAGCGTACAACGGGCGAAACGTTGCGATAAATATGGCGAAAAAGATGAGGACAATAGTCTGAATAATGTAAATAATCACTGAGTATGTTGCAGTTAGCTGTTTCGGATCAAATTTCTAACCTCATTGTCAGCAATAGTACCTTATACGTGAGATCAAAATTACCGAGAACCAATATTATTTACAAATTCGCATCTCCCTTGTGGAAATAAATAAACGTCATGAATAATGATATTGGATATACTAAAACATATTAAGTAGACTTACGTTACATCTCTCTGACCAATTAAGTCTCATTTAAATCCACATGGAGACCTTACAAATTCTATCCGCAATATTCTTGTTGATAATAACAAACAATATAAATTTTATTACCAACTAAAACAGTTTTCATCTGATAGTGAACTAACCGAAATAAGTATAGTTTTAATATTGACCGGAATATATTATTATTTGTTTCCTGTACAAAAGCGAAAATCACTCAACAGCAATAATTATTTGTGATAATTTGACCTTTTCATATCATATATATATATATATATATATATATATATATATATATATATATATATATATATATATATAGTGAAAGAATGAGAGAGCGATATATAGAGGAAGAGAGAGATATACATGCAAACATACATAGGGAGACAGACTAACAGAAAAAAAAACACCCAAAAATGTATACAGAGGAAAACGTGTATACATATTTTAATGCTAAATTTTTTCAGGTATCATGAGATTAATCACAGAAGATGCTCAAAATGGTGGCACTTAGGCTCCAGAACATTTTTTTAAGGTAACGTAGGCTAAAGTCTCAAATAGGATTGTTGTGCATGCATTTTTGTTTTTTTTAAGGTCCGCCAATGAAGCCTGTTTTCTGCGAGGCAAAACTTACATTAGTATAAAGCAATGTTGTATAATGCCTTACGAACGCAAATTCTTCCCAGATTTTCTTAAGATTTATATCCTAACGTAAACAAAGCAATTTCTAAAGAAGTAATGGCTTTTTAATTATGTTTTTTCTTTTTCATTTCAGGTATAGAAATGTCATCCACTTGCACAGAAAAACAACACTCTGCAGAGTGCAATTTGGAGATAATTCGGTAAAACTGTACCAACTTCAATACAGATTCGGAAATGACTCAAAAGTTAAAAGCGGAATGCTCTTTGTCAATGGCAGATGAATCTAGACAATTACCATATAGAGGGCGTGCCAATATTTGCAACTTTTGAAATCGTCCAAGAATCCACATAACTTTGAATTTCCCATTAATTCAATTAAATCAAATGTTTAAGTCAATATACATTTTAAGTTTCAAGTCATTTTAATTACTCAATATTTTGATCTCAAATATATATATATATATATATATATATATATATATATATATATATATAATAAAATAGACAACTTCAACCTACCATCATTTTTCAGCAAGATGATACACGACCATATTAGAGACTGTATATTCATAGGTTTCTAAATCAAGCATTTCCAGACCGGTTGAGTGAAAAGGATGGCCCAATTGCCTAGCCACTTCGTTCACTAGATATCACTCCTGTGAACTACTTTCTATGGTATTATGTTAGAGCTATTGTGTATAGAACAAAGATAAGGGACATCACTGATGCCATTGCTACAATTGATGATGCTATGCAACTGCGAACATAACAAGGAATCGAGTACTGTCATGATGTGCTTCGTGCAGATAATGGTGGACATATATGTGAGCTTAAAAAGTTTTCAATATCAACTCCCCTGTTTTGTAATAATTTCCACACATTCGTCTGTCCATTTTAAACTCTAAAGAAACTTTATGCACACCATATATATATATATATATATATATATATATATATATATATATATATATATATATATATATATATATATGAGTTAAAGTTCAAATGTAATCAAATATGGATCGGAATAGGATGAGCCTAATCACACACACACACACACACACACACACACACACACACACACACACACACACACACACACATATATATATATATATATATATATATATATATATATATATATATATTTATAAATTAACTGATTGAAAACATGTTTTTTTTCGCTACAGAGTTCTAACATTTTTTATTTTGTAAAAATAAAAATATCTATGAGAACACCGAATTATATATCCTAGTGTTCTTTCTTTCTTTATACATATATATATATATATATATATATATATGTGTGTGTGTGTGTGTGTGTGTGTGTGTGTGTGTGTGTGTAATATATGTATATTTATTTTAAGAGATTAAATATAACCTGTTAAAATCGCTACACAATTAAATTTATGTTTCAACACTACAAATGTTAAACTACTTGCGCATGAATGATTAATTTAATTTCAAAGGAAGTATACTTTAAAAAATATATGTTTGTGCACTTTGCCGTGCTTAACCAATCGAATGTGACCTACGCTAAATTCAAATTCACCGAACAAAATAAATATTATATTTCGAAAGATGTTTCGAAATCTGACGTTCAACTTTCCTAATAAGTAAAAGTTGAAGAGTTAGTGAGGTAATTTAACGCAATTCTAAACAGTTATATGCTCGTTCAGCTTCTTACATTTTGTAGTTGAAAAATAAACGGCTCCTTTAAGAAACTGGTATATAACCATTCGAGAAAAAAAACAAATAAAAAATATACAGACCTACTTTGGCAAATTAGTATGCAGTCGTTAAATAAAGAGCACCATTTAAGATGTTAATAATACCAAATAACCAATATAAGATGTTAATAAAAATAACTAAACACCTGTATATCCGTATACGATGTAACTAATACTAACTGAACACCAATTCAAAACAATATTAAATCAAAATGAATCTTAAAAATAGAATAGTGAGCCATATAAGGTGCACCACAATTTATCTACTCATTATTACTATAAGAAATAGTATTATCAGATTCAAAGTTTAAACATATAGGCAAAAAGTAGACTAAGCCTAAGCAATTTACAGTCAATTTTTTTCTTTGTTTAAATGAAGAGATTTTATGAGAAAAACTGATAATTTCTAGTTTTTCGTGTAGGCATAGAAAATAGGGTTTATTTAAAGATGTACATGTTCTAGCGTTTTTTTTTAAATTTTCCATTTTATCTTAGGAGTTTTATTAGCTTCTTTTAAATCTCGCACTCGGATTGATTTTATTAAGGCAATGATTTGCCCTGATAAGTTTCATCAGAGGATGAAACGCGTCGGTAAATAAAATATATCCTTTTGTCTTTATTTTTATTTTATTTTCAGATATATATATTATTCTTATCTAAATTTGTTCACACACACACAGACACACACACACACACACACACACACACACACACACACACATATATATATATATGTCTGTTCAGTAATTATTTATTCGAAGATTGTAACGTAATATTTTATGAAATTGCTACAAAAATAGCCATTTTATTTCGACACTTCCGGTGTCTTATCAAGATTCAAGACCAACACTTGAAGTGTTGAAACAAAATGGCTACGTTTGTAGTGATTTTATAACATATTTATGTGATAATTTTCGAATAAGTTTTAAGAATAATATTTGTTGCTTATTGGAATTTATTCCGTATACACCAATCCTATACTTGTATATATATATATATATATATATATATATATATATATTAAAGGAAAACAGACCACTTTAAGGTTCCATTATAATAGTTTATTACACCAGAGCCCTTTTAAAGGACGCTGGATCATCAGATAGCACTTCCAAAAGATGAAACGAAAACTTTTTCGTGAAATAAATTATTATAATATAACCTTAAAGTGGTCTGTTTTTCTTTAAAATATTAGCTCTGGATTTACATTGAGCTCTCAGGATTTCATCCACCTTGGGACTACCCATACGGATTAACAAGTTTTTCATAACTTCAATATATATATATATATATATATATATATATATATATATATATATATATAGAGAGAGAGAGAGAGAGAGAGAGAGAGATAGATAGATAGATTCATTCTCACGTCGAGAATTTTTATTGAAGAACCTATACAAATAAATTGTTTAAACGGTCAATTTTCTGTAGCCTGCCATGAACACTCACTCCATGAACACTCACTCCATCGTAGCACAATCTCCTCAAGGGGTGCACTCTGTGTTACATCAAAAATGGTGCTGCAGTCGCTGGCATTTTGGACGATAATTGTTTTCTCACTTCAAGTTGCCCTTGCTTTTTATAAGAATATCTTCCGCCCTTTGACGCCTCCTTACAGATTGTTTTTATGCAGAGTTTTTATCTTCATTGGCCATTTAGCAACAAAGTCTATTGGGCCCACTCTATTCTGCTCTTTATCCATATAAGAAGCTATGTATTTCTAGGTTTCCAATCTGTATTTGTGTGTAAGTGAATACAATGGACCCTACGGAAATTCGAACTCCTCTCTCCGATTTCTCACTCTTAGCTTTTATCCTGGTTTACTTATATAACTGGCCTTTTTTTATTCGACATTAGGTTCTGTCTATTTTCCTCCGGCCTTATCTCTCGATCTTTAATTTTCAGTTAAACACTTCTGTGCCATTTTTCTGTACAAATAAATGTTTATTTAGTTTTCTCTTCCGAATTCGGTTCCTTTTTTTCATTTTCTTTCTCTTGCGTTCTTGAATTTGACCTCCCATGTTTGTTTTTAATTTCTTTCATTCGCTGCCCACATTCATTTTTCAGTTTCCTTTTCTCTGGCCTTATTTCTATATTGTCTTGTCGATTTTTCATTTTCCTTTTACTCTTTTAATGTCATTCATTTCTTTATTTTCTGTTTGGTTTTGTTCTTTTTTGCTAAGGACTTTTATTTTCCCCTTTGCTTCCTTTATTTTTCTTATAAAGAAATTCTTCTATTTTAAGGTGTTTTCGTTTGTTTTTGTTTGTTTGTTTACTGCAATTCTATTTTCACCATTTTAATCATCTCCGTAATTACCCCCACCACCACCACTTCATTAGTCCTATTTTCTGAAATTCGTATTTGACTTATCTCGCTTTATCTAAACCTTACGCACTTTTTTTTAATGCGCTATCACTTCAGAATGTAAATGACTATGGCTCGGCAAAGATATTTATAATGAATTAATGTCGACTATATTATAACCTTCATATTTAGCTCAGGTTTAAACTTTCTTTGTTTCTTGGCCCTTAAAAGTACATTTGCTTAATCATTTCATTTTAATCATGTTCAGTAATAAAAAAAGAAAATATCGAGTCTATATTGATATCTCTTCGTCACCGAGACTTGTTTGTCCAGTGCGCATGACTCGATATAGCACCGCTCGTCACAGATTCCATCTTGTAACGCATTCAAGTTTTCTTATCCGAACGGACTGTGTCTAAACTAATCCGTCATTAATTAGTGCTAGAAATGCTAACTTATTCCCACTTGTGTCCTTTATATGAGTGCGTGTCTTTTTCTTTCCGTTAATTAATATACCATATATAGCAAAAAAGAAAATGAACTGGCGATAATTCGTGTTAGGTGTACATTTGTTCAACACCGAAATGATGCTGCAAAAGCAAGTTATTAACCTGCGAACTCGAGTTATGTTGCTAACTAGCGACGTCAGATCTAGAAACTCATGTGGATGTCACGCATGACATTCAACTTGTCCACAATCAAATTTTAAAAATCAGGAGGTCAGTTGAATCTGTTACTTTGGTTTCAACATTACGGTATCCTCAGCCAATTTTTTATCAAATGACCACCTAAAGCTTTTTATTTAAAGAAAAAATAAACTAAAGAATGGTAAATTATTGTTTCCAAAAATTAAATAAGCAAACGCACGGCGTTAGGTGTAATAGAAAGGGAGAGGGGGCGCAGGAGGAGAAGAAGAAGAAGAAGAAGAAGAAGAAGAAGAAGAAGAAGAAGCAAGTGTAATCCAAATATACTATAATCTATATACAAACTTCTTCGTAGATCAATGATTATAAATGGTTTCACGTGAATGAATCCTTTACGCCTTAGTTAAGATAATTTTCCAGAATCTAGAGTCTGACATTAAAAAATCACAAGCAAATATTACCAAATAATAAAAACTACGTCTCTTGACGGCTTGTAAAACTAACAAGAACAAAAATTATATATATTTAATGTCATAAAGATAATAATATAAACAAATGTGGACTTCCAATAGAATCTTAAATTAAATTTCTGGAAGGAAACTCCAATCAATACTAGAAAGCGCGATAACATTTACTGGAATTGAAAAAAAGTTTTATTTCCTGAAAAATATTTTATAAATTTCTACCGTTAGTAACGTTAAATATATTGTCAATGAATGCGAACTTATCTATTGTCAGTTTTATTTCATTTTTGGAAGTTGAGGAAAGACAACTTCTTCCGTTAATAAAAAATTAAAAAAAATTAAAAATAAATAAAAATTAAAAAAAAAAAAATTGCAATCTGACAAATAACAGTTAAATGTGATGACTTTTCTGACAGGTATGCTCATTATTTTTGTCTTGATCAATATTACGATCAGTGAACTGAATGACCTACATCCATTATTCTTTATTAATGAATAATTAATTTAAAATTATTTTTATATAAGTATTCATTATTCACAATGAATTAGTCTTCCAGCTCCTTTAACTAATTAATTAATTTACTATTAATTTAGATACCTCCACTAATTCGTTAAAAAAGACCATACTATAATGAAAAAATGCCCCAAATTTGATAAAAACAATGTTTTGTCATCAGAATCTTTATGTTGTTATTACGAGAAAAGATCAAAATATTTTTTGATTACATTTTAATACTTTTTAGCAGTTTCGGAATTTTGGTTGCAAATTTTTTTTTTCTTCCGTCAAAGTGTGTGTGTGTGTGGGGGTAACAAAGATTAATATAAGAAATTTTAGCGTGTGTTTTTTTGCTTTTTTTTTTTGACAGCGAAAAATACTTTGATTTTGAAATTCTTGCAGAGATGAAATAATTGTTAGCTTTAATGAATGGAATCGTTAATTTCACCATTCCCCATATAATTAATACATCTATTTGTAGGTCAATGTTATTTGATTGGGCTTGCACCACATGTGTGCCCTTTTTAATTTAGTCTCTTACAAGTATCTTCATAGTGACTCATTTCTGTAGACAGTTTGAATAATTTATATTGATTCAATAACACATTCTTACAAATATCTCTGACCATACAAACCACAACGTCATATCCAGCGACTAAATATTTAAAAGCCCAAAACTGAATGGTACATCAAGTATACTCATATGAAAATTGTTTTTAAATTAACTGCTTAAATATACAGTGTGAAGTGACATTCACAAATGATCAAGTTGCTTTGTTCGCCCCTTTTATTTGGGAGTTAAGAGGATAGTTAAAAAGATGTCTGAGCAATGCATGGCATTTGTGCTCTTGTGAGATGACAACAGACTACTCGAAAGAAAGCAGATGGTCGAGAAATAATTAAGGTAGTGGATAGAATATTGCTGATTTGCTGGTGGTCATTTGTCCGTAGCTGTAAGGGTCAGCAAACGAGGTCTAAGGTTGTTCATGTCGAATCCGGTGCTGGGGCCACAGCAATGACGCGCATATTGTTTCCATTGTTGTAAGCTGATCGGTGAGCTGTTTGAATGCAGATATAGCAAAAGAAGGTTAAAGGATCAGAAAGAGTAGAGCATTCTTTCTTTCTTCAGATATAGCAAAAGAATGTTAAAGGATCAGAAAGAGTAGAGTATTCTTTCTTTCTTCAGATATAGCAAAAGAAGGTTAAAGGATCAGAAAGAGTAGTGCATTCTTTCTTTCTTCAGATATAGAAAAAGAAGGTTAAAGGATCAGAAAGAGTAGAGCTTTCTTTCTTTCTTCAGATATAGCAAAAGAAGGTTAAAAGATGAGAAAGAGTAGAGCTTTCTTTCTTTCTTCAGATATAGCAAAAGAATGTTAAAGGATCAGAAAGAGTAGAGCATTCTTTCTTTCTTCAGATATAGAAAAAGAAGGTTAAAGGATCAGAAAGAGTAGAGCTTTCTTTCTTTCTTCAGATGTAACAAAAGAAGGTTAAAAGATCAGAAAGAGTAGAGCTTTCTTTCTTTCTTTCTTTCGTCGTATACAGCAAACTGAGGTTAAAAGATCAGAAAGAGTAGAGCTTTCTTTCTTTTCCTTTCACTCTCGCTATAGTTTCTTTACTTTCTTTATTTTTCCCTTTCATCACGCTTTCTCTTCTTTTTTCAATGTTTTCTTCGTTTCCCTCTTTCTTTTTCTCTCGCCTTTAATTATCTTTTACTGTTTTATACCATCTTTCTTCATTAATTATCTCTTTGGCTCAAAATATTTTCTTTTTTTTTTTGTTTCTTTTCTTACCATCTTTCTTCCTCCTTAATTTCCAACTGACCTTTCTTCAAAGTTTTATTTATGTTATTCTTTTCTTTATTACTATAACTTCTATTACGGATTTTTCTTTTGTATTTTTTATTCATTCTAACTTAATCATTTCTTATTCTAATCACATTTCTTATTTCATTTAACTTTCGACACTCAAGAATTCATTAATTTTTAAATTTTTTTCTTTATATATTTATATATTTTCTTCTCTCAAATTTGTTCACTGACTTCTGTGTTTTTATCTCCGTGTTTTTTCTTATGTTAGCTCATCTCACTTTTTTCAAAGCTTTTTTTTTAACGACTTTGTTCCTCTGTTTACATTTTCTTTCTTTTACACACTTTTCAATTTCTTTACTTCATTTTTCTTCCTTTTGTACGTTATTCTATTCTTTCTTTCTTTCTTTCTTTCTTTCTTTCTTTTTATTCAAAGTTCCGTTTATCGCTTTCATTTTGCCTTTTTTCATCATGTTTAATTACAAAACACTGTATATTCTTTGTTTCTATGGATTACTTTTCATCTTTCTTTTTCTATTGCTTATATATCCTCCTATTTTCTTTATTTGCTGTTAAAATTTATTAAGCTTAGGTCATTCGAGCACAAGACATCATCTCTTGGGAAACAAGTAAGGGTCGAATCCATTATAGTAGTAAATGCTTATTACGTTATCTAGCAAACTATTACACTAGATTCATTTTAGACATTACTTCTAATGATACCAACATTATTCACATTTTTTATTTGCATTTTTGTTTCTTTTTCTGTTTCTTTCTTTCTTTAAGGGAAAATGTTGTTTCTTTTTTTTTCTTATTAGACTAGGAGGAAATTGTATGCTTTATTCATTACATTCATTCATTTTTCTTCTTTATGCACACTTTTCCTTTATTTCCTTCGTTGTATTTCTCGTTTCTAATGGAACATTTCACTATCCTTCCTTTCTTATTTTTTTCTTTCCTTCCTTCATTTCTTTCTTTCTTTGAGCGAATGTTTGATGTTCTCCCCTTTTTTGTTTTATTCGGCTTGGAGGAAAACAGTATCTTTTTTCTTTCTTTCTTTCTTTCTTTCTTTCTTTCTTTCTTTCTTTCTTTCTTTCTTTCAGTTTACTTTTCTCTGTTTGAATCAATTGTTAACGATGTGCAGGAAATCCTGAGTAGTTGTTTAACTCTCGAAGATTTTTAGTATTCCGGAAAATAATAATTGAGAACTGATGTTGTCGTACATTATTTCTCGGATGATGAGACAGGCATCAATGCAGAAACAGAAAACGCTTATAGACAGGTACCCCCCAAAAAAAAAACATTTATTTGAAAAATGTAACGGCGATCTCTACTATATTTGAGTAGCATCAGCTAAATGGAAAATTAATTAAAACGCTTAGTATTAGTGGCCAGAATTTGAGATTATTAGTACTTATGCCCTTTCAGGCTTCTCATTAAACATTAATATACTTTAGCGGTTATTTGTATTTCTTTAATGCTTTCTTATTATTATTTATTATGTAGGTAATAACTAATATATATTTGGTAGCTAATAATTACTATGCATTATTTACGTAATAATTGATAGGTATTACGTATGCAATAATTAATCATCTTAGGTAATAATTAATTCCAACTATATCGGGAATAACCGATATATAGGGAATAATCGATAAGTATTATGTATGGAATAATTAATATAGATTGTGTAGGTAATATTTATAAGCACTTGTTTATCTTTTAAGTAATAAATTAAAAAATTAATTATTTTCTCATTATTATTATGCTTAATAGTAATAATAATAATAATAATAATTTTAAATCTTTAAATTTATCTATTAATTTATATACCATTTATTTAAATTACTATTTAATACACACGCACACACACATACACACACACATATATATATATATATATATATATATATATATATATATATATATATAGATATAGATAGATAGATAGATAGAAAGATAGATATAATTATATATGTATATTTAAAGATATTTTTGTGGGTACAAAATTCAATGATCGAAATAAAAGTATAAAACTTAATATTACAAGACATATTAAAAACAGGCGAAGCAACCGGTTTCGCTCCCGCTCTTCAGGCTTCAACGGGAGATTTAATTTAAAATTAGCACAGAAACATGTACAATAAAAGGAAGTTGTGAGAGAAAAAATAGCAAAAGGAACTAGAGACAAATGACAGCGAGCCCCAACAAACACTCACGTTGTTTACACAAAGAAGGTTTACGAGACCCGATGTAAAGTGCCTCCAGAACCTTTTATTGTACATTTCTCTGTGTCAATTGTAAATTAAATCTCCCGTTGAAGCGAAACCGGTTGCTTCGCCCGTTTTTAATATGTCTCGTAATATTAAGTTTTATACTTTTATTTCGATATATATATATATGATTTAGTCTTCCATATCTTTTAAATAATTAATCAATTCATCATTAATTTAGGTACATCCACTAATTCGCTAAAAAAGAACATACCATGATTAAAAAATGCCCCAAATTTGATAAAAACAAAGTTTTATTGTCAAAATCCTTTTTACTATTACGAGAAAAGACCAAAATATTTTTATTATATATTTTTAAGCAGTTTAGGAATTTTGGTTGCAAATCTTATTTTCTTGCTTCAAAGGGGTGGAGAGAAAAGTTAGTATAGTATAGTAAAATTTTAGCATCGTTTTAGGAGTGAAAAACGCTTTTATTTTGTAATTTTTGCAAAAATCAAATAATTGTCAGATTTAAAAGAACTTTTGAGAACTTATTCACAGATGAATTAAATTATTTTAGAAAGGTATTTTTTTTTAGAAAATCTTAGTAAAAATATTTATATCTGTTAATTCCACATATTTAATTTTAAGAAATTTCGAGAAATTAAATTCTAACCTGCTTAATTTAATATTATTTAAAAATAAACTCAATGAAAAATTTAGATCATCCCTTTTTTCTTTGTTTAACAGAAACACCATTTACCAAAAATCTGCTCTGAATTTTAGAATAAATAATACAATAAAACTAAAACTTATATAATTAGAAAAGCTTGTAATCTTATGAATAAGTTATATTAAGGACAATATTGCCTTGTGATGAATAATATATTTTTGCACGAATTGTCCTCATTTTTTAACAATTGTAATGGAAATAATCCATATAGTTTAAAATATTTTAAATTTCTGCATTACTTTAACCCTGTTAGTTGATATTGTTATTAAGTACATATTATATTTCCCTATCATAAAAGAAAAGGCTTAGTACAAATCATCAAACACCGATATCTTTAAAACAATTTGAAGTTTTTTTATGTGTATAAACGTAGCGAGTTTTGTAGATACAGTTTTTTCTTACATGACATTGTCAGAAAACAAGAGCGATGACTCTATCAAATTTAAAGAAAAATAATCTAAAATTCAATAAATCATTAGACTACGTAGGATATTTAATGATAACAGAGTACTTAAAAACATGTACAAATGGCACTCATGTTATGTTTTTCAGTTATTTTTACAGAGAGAGCCACCGTAGAAAAAAAAATAGATATACATCCATTTGTCATTCAAGCTGTCAATACTTTAAATAAACAGCTACAGTCATGTTACAAATGCTTTTCTCCGATATTTTAAACTTAAAGTAAATAAAATTTGTTTCAAATCAAATACATTACACTCTAAATGAACTAATATACGTCAAATAAATTTTTAGAAAGGTATATTTTATTTTGGAAGATTTTGTAATAAAGAGAATTATATTACGATGAATAATTACTAAAAATTGAACTGAAATCAGTTTTTTATTTAAAAAAAAAGCTACCTCCAGCCAATTTAATTTAATAGAGAAAATAGATTACTATTTAAGCTAAAAACTAAAACTAAAATAAGTTTCACAAAAGGTTTTTTTTATTTTAAAAAAATCATTGGACAACTTAGGTATCGCGAATCTGTCGAAGTACTTATATTAAGTTAGGTATAATCTATTTAATATTAACATAATTACAATGTATACATTTATTTAATTTGTTTACTTTTTAATTATATTCTGTTATCATCTAATTATACAGGTGTTTCCCATCTGGTCTGTAACGATTTGATAATTTCTGTCTGAATTTCTAGGATGAGTAGTTTTCATTGTTTATATTATTTTCATACAAACATTTATGAATTTTTAATCCACTGACCTATTGATCCAGTAGAAGAAAAAAAAAATGGAAAAGAATAAACCATTAACTATCTTTCGGGGATATCATTTGGTTTTGGAAGAGAACCACCTGTTTTATGTCCAGACCTTGCCATGATAAAAGTTTGTTACCTGAACAGACTGTTGGCGACAGAAGTACGAAGACGTTGAGGAATACAAAAAGATTCACTTGACCACCGAGATAATCACTTGGCGAAAATCTCATTGATGAATCCCAGATGACATTCAGTTAAGATAAAGATTTAATGACTACAGTACGAGTCGTGGGGGTTCTAGTCGGGGAAAAGAAAGAAAAGAAAAAAAAAGATCATTTTTTACTTTGAGCGATAATTGTAAACTGAGGCCAGTCTAGCCACACCCACGCTGCCGAGCGTTCATTGGCTGAATGGTAGCGTGAGCGATGATCGAAGGTAAACATATGAGAAATAAGGGAAACCTGTTGACGCCTCTGAGGGGATTGGTGTGAGATACCAATATGAGAAAGAAGGGAAACCTGTTGATGCCCTCTGAGGTGATTGGTGTGAGATACCAATATGAGAAAGGAAGATTTTGGAAGGTCAATTTCCTTAAGAGCCCCTCTAAAGCAGAAAGTAATTGACTTCCAAAAATGGGAAGTGATAACTTTTCCTGTCCGAAAACAAAGAAAATCCTTATTGCGGATTTGGAATTATCGAGGAAGCCAAACCACTACAGGTCCCCACCCGGTTTTGGTCGGCGTCCATATAAACGAACTTCCCCAGAATCAGAGTGGCAGTGGGGCAGACGCAGACAGAGTTACAGAGCAGGCCGAGTTGAGCTGTGAGCTTAGAAACCAGCCTCGCAGGAGCGGACTGAAAGATTCCACGCATTCCGACTTAGATTGCTAACGAAAAACAATTTATTTTTGAAGAACGACTTAGACTCACACCACCAAAACAAGTTTTTCGAATATCGCCTGAAGAGACCAAAAACCAGTTTATTGAAAAACAGCTTAAGATATTAAGACTCGCCTAAGAAACGCAAAGTGTCACATATCAATAGAAGCGGTTTGGGAGAAAGAAGCAGTCCTGTATTCAGCAACCAGATATGAACATACTTGTTATTCTATTTTAACACATTTGAATCTTTCGATTTGTTACTTTATTTTCTTTTACATATACTTGTGCGGTATCACCTTTGCTCGAATTCGGCTTGCACTACGGCCCGACGACTGATTGATTTCGTCTACCTAAGATCAAATCACAACGTGGGTAGGTTAGACTAGAAATCAAAGCAGTTACTTTGGGAACCAGGCGTTGGAGGCAAGCTGGGAACGACAAAGCTGATGCCGAATCTAACCAGATTTCCATCCGAATCAAGCAAGGGTTAGATCGTCACAGGATAGCACGGGAGAGGCCCAGGGTGACGTCACAAAAGTACTAAATGAATACCTGAAATTAATATTAATAAGTAAAAAAAAAACAAAGATGGATTGAATACTGGAATGTACAAAATTTAAATATGTGATTCGTATTAGTGGAGACACAGTTATGCAATCAGAGGCGGTGTAATGATTAGCAAGTTAAATTACGACTGAATAGTGAGTTCGATACATACTGGGTGGTCCATACTTTCGGCCTTGTGCCACATATAAGCTACACTTGGAAAATCACTAGTGGGGACATAGTTCAGCTAGTGGCTCGGATTAAGAAATCTGAGAGCCGAATTCGAATTCCAGATGAGTTAATTATATTTATTTATGTACTAATAACTTGGAGAAAGGCTGACTCCAACTCTTAACCCCTATGAGTAAAATAGTAGAAAAAACTGTGGCATATAGCCTTGGGTAGCATCCATTCTAGGAGAAGTAAACTTAAATCACTTGCGACCTTATAGGTGATACGTCTTTAGGCAAAGGCTAGAATTGGGTACCTAAAAAAAAAAAAATTAACAACCGAGAGGATGAGCGGTCTAACCTCATCATACTCTGTGTAAAAGGAACCTGAAAGCCATTGCACTATTATTGCACCA